TGCTGTGCATCTGCTACAGTACCCCAAAAAGGGGGGACTAAATATGTAAAAAAAATTGCTCACTTTCCATTTAAAAAATACTAATGGTAAACTCCTGAAGTCAGTTGGAATTAACCCTGCAAAAAAACATTAGGAAAGGCTCTCAGGGGCCCCAGGTGAGTAACCCCTGAGCCTTGCTAGGTATTCACTGAGTGTGCTAGAAGTAGAAAGTGAGAGAAAAGCAACACCCTCAGCCTTCTTAAACTTGAAAAGTGAGGTCCCACTCCCACAGGCCTCAGAGTCTTACAGAAAGGAAGTTGAATTGACTTATAGTTTAATTTTATTTATTGTAGCTTACAGTAAATAAAAGTCATTCTTCATCCTCTTCAAAGGCTTCCAGGAAAATTAAAAAAAAATAAGTAAAAAAAAAAAAAAAAAAAGAGTACTTTTGTTGTAACACACACCCTTAACTATACCAGGTCAAGGAGTTTTTGTTCAAGAGGAGAAAGACCTTTTCAATAAAGACTGAGTTATTTCTTGGTATGCATCCTGCAGGTCCCCTGAACATTAACTTCACAGCAATATTTATAGGGCAAGGGACTTTGCCTACATCAGGAACAGCAGACAGCCTGGACTTGCAGCCCCAAAAAGCAGGTGCCTCAGTCTTTGCCTTCAGTCCTCTCCCCACCCAGGTTCCTCACAGCCTGAGCCCCTCTCCCCAGGCTACCGTTTCCCCTCAACAAAAGAAGCAAACCCCAAAGAAACAGCCTGCTAAAATTCACACCAAAACAGCTCAGGCAGCTCATACCACCTACCTTTGGTTGAGGCTGCTCTCCCTGCCCCCTGGCAGCACCCAGCCACCCCTCATGCTGCTCCGCCATGTTCCTCAGCTCTCCCAAGGGACCACCTCAGCCCTCATTCCCCTTCCCCAGCCACAGCTGTGGGGCTACCACAGCTGCAGTCAGCAGCTCACCTCATGTTAACCTTCATTTTGGATGGTGATTTCAAAGAACACTGTTTTCAGGAAAATTTTACCTCACGTCAAGCTTTGGGGCTTACAAATGACAGCTTGCAATGGTGGCTGGCCAGCCTAACTGGAGAGCAAGCATTGCAGGGGCACACCTCTAATGCAGCCAGCACACGGGCTGGGATCCCAAAGGCACAGTGAGCCTCCCTCAGGTAATCATCTAGCTAGGAATATTTCTAACCAAAGAGCACTGCATATTTAAAAAAAAAAAAAATCCTCTATGCATTGTTTTTCTTGGTTTCTCCTATAAGAGTGAAGCTCCTGGAAAAAATCTTCCTCCTCAGGTCAGTCTTTGTTACTCCTCTCAGTGGCATGTTCCCTTGCAGCCAGTCTGTTTTCCCCTGCAGTTACTTTCAATAGCCTTAATGTTCCTCTGCCTCCAAATGTTAGGGAGTATTACTTCCACTCTTCCATGTAACAGTTAGCATTACTGTTGCAGCCTCTGTATTGTTTGAGGTTTTACGGGCACTATCTCCATTGCCTATAGAGCTATTTGCTTGAGGCAAAAATGGGCAATCTTTGTTTGCCAGGGAGAAGGGTTGTCTTGTAGCATCCTTTTTCATATTGTCATAATTTGCCCACCTGGCAGTTGTCAGTGTTGCCTGTGTTATGCTGCCTTCACTGCTGACAGAGGAAGGCAAACTCACTCATACCACAAACTTGCTTGATCACTGCGACCATTTAATACATGATCTTGTCTTTTCCAGACAGCGCAGACGGTGCTTCTCGTGGTCGCCGTGTTCCTGCTCTCCTGGCTGCCACACCACATCATCACGATGTGGGCAGAGTTTGGGCAGTTTCCCCTGAACAACATCTCCTTCACCTTCCGCATCATCTCTCACTGCTTAGCCTATGGGAACTCTTGCATCAACCCCATCATTTATGCTTTCCTCTCAGAAAACTTCCGCCAGGCCTGCCGGCAAGTCTTCCCCTGCAAGTTCTTCCTGCGGCCGGTTCCCACTGAGAAACTGGTCAGAATACGCATGGAGAACTTCTCTACCATGCATTCGACCACTAACGTGTACATTGGGCTCACAAATACATTTCAGGAGAAAGAGCAGCGGAAAGGGTGCTGTTTGGGGAGAACAGGTATACAAGTGCATTTCAGGGAGCAGTGCAGCCTGCAAAAACATGGACTTTGTCAGATTACCAGAGTGGTAGGAGGCATTTTTCCATCTGGCTGTTAGGACACTTGACACAGCTTGTCCTAGGGTACCTTGCTAGGCACTGGGCTATGTGCAACAGAAGTATCTGAATGTCCTTGTAGTGCCCATAAGATAGAACTCGTATGCAGTTGTAGTTATGCCCATAAAGTCTAAAGTAAGAGTTACAGAGAAGGTAGAATATGGACAGACAAGAAAAGAGCAGTTAATTACATGTGTAGACCATCATTAGGATGTGAACAATGAGTGCTGTGATGTTTAGAGAGCACTGAAAAGCAGTTTGGGAAAAGTCAAACTAAGAAGTCTTTGAATAGATCTTTGTTTCTTAAACAAGATTGACCATATGCAAGCTACATATATTTTTAGCTCGCTAGCTGTGATGGGGTCTCTAAATCTCCAAAGGCTTTGCTATAGTATTTACCTATTGGATAGTAAAACCTTTCACATGATGTGTCAGTGATGTGGATATCTGCATTTGGTGGCTCTGTATCAGCTTATATATCCCAGGGTTTGAATGTCTCTGTGCTCCTGAATGTAATTACTGCTGTTAATCACTGGCTCCAGTAACTGTCTCTTTGTGAGCAACAATAGGAAAGTGGTATTTCTCAATATATGCTTAAAAGAACTGTGGTTTTGTTTGAAAGTAATGTTTACAAAAGGCTTTATTGGTAAATATAGCGTTCTCTGAGTATATCTACCCAAAGCTTTTTATTGGCCGCTTTAGTATATAAATGCTGAAAGTTTGTGGGGTTCTTTGATAAACTGTTTTGATCAACAGTTTTTTTTTTTTGAACAATCAGTTTAGGGCATTTGTACCACGTTCAAGGCTACTGTTTGTAAATATATAAAGCGCATATTACTTCAAAATTAAGAAGCATATGGCTGAAAGAACTTTATTATTTCACTGTGTTGTCTAATTTGATAATATTGTGTGCTGCAATCCAGACTGACCTGTCATGGGACTCACTGTAACACGACTCCTGATTCATAGACTATGTTATTGAGTGTTTAGAAGTGAGTTACAGAAGTTAAACTACAAATTACATCTGAAAACATAACAAAAACATCCAAATATAACCTTATAGAACATCTTCAACATCTTGTGTTATGGCCATCAGAACACATACAATTAATTTCTGTAACGTGTAATACACCAATCACTCATTTTTAATGTGTATTTTATACCTCAATGTCAAGTATGCCCACATTGCCTTTTATTGTCTGGATAATTTATCAGAAGTCAACCTTCCTCCCATTTTCCTTCCACATATTTTAACTCAAGAAAAAAACTACTCTCTCATCACCAATGCCACTTAGTTACTGGTACAAATTAAGCAGATGCATTAATTATGAATGACCACTGCCACATAGTTTGACCATGGATCTTGTGTCAGAAGTTATTGTTTATGTGACATCATTTAACTGTGGTTAACTTTGGTTGCATTATTTAGCTGGAAACTGTAGGTAATAGAGCAAAGTATTATAGTACACATCATCTGCAAGTTATGAAACTTTTGCCTGAACAACTGATTGATTTAGTCCTGCATAACAGCTATACGAGAAGACAAATATTTGAAGACGGACATCTGAGATCCCAAGCAACAATCTTCCTCAGAAACTTAAAAGGGCAACTCTGTATGTTGAACTGGGAAGCACCGTCACCAGCTGCCTCAGGAAAGAAGGACACTCTATGAAGCAGGTAATAACTTGATATTTATGCTAATACAGTGAAGCGCTACAGCTTTGAAAAAGATCAGATTCAAATTATATCTGAGATGGAGTCAGCCTGAAATTGCTTAGGCAAAGCAGGCAAGCAAATATTAAAATTTCTTACTTGGAGTTTCTTGAATACAGTTTACCTCATTTAAATTAATCTGCGTGTCTACAGTTAAAGGAAGCTATTTCTCAGCAGTTCAGAGGACCTGATACAACATAAGATGCATATTAACAAATGGAAACAGGATCTTCTGTAAATTATACTACTAGATTGTCCCGAGATTTCTGTTTAAGGATTTACCCTACTCCTATACATGAACAATAAGCTTCTGCTTGTGGACACATAAATTGCCTGATTTGCAGTTAAATGAACTACAGATGAGAGGCAAGTAGTCCATGCAATGAATGGGTCCAAAATATAAAGGTTTCCAGTCTCCGAGTGGATCACTCTTCCCCTGTATTTCTGTAAAGTTGAAAGCTTTCTATTACAGTAAATAATTTTACTGCAGCTTGTAACTTCCCCTAAGAGCCCCTTAACTGTGCAATGTGAACAGAGTACATGTGTACAATTTCTAGGATAAGGTTATATAGCCTTATCCTTAAGTGATTATCTGTGCAAGTTTTCTGTTTTAGTTTTTACTCTCAGTACACTAAGAATTAGAGTAGCTCCAGTGCCTTATTTCCTCTGAAACCAATGATTTAGATACTATGCTGTGATCTTTTCATTTAACAGCTTACTATTTCTACATACTGAGTTTTAGCACAGGCTAAAGTGCTAAAGTGCTTTTTCCCAGGTATGGGAAAAACAACCACTAGAAGAAAAGGCTGTGACAAATCACTGCAACAGAAATCAGAGCTAAAACACTATTTTTGTGTGATTATTTACCATGGATACAAACTAGTAGCTAGATATGAAAGAACCTCAGCCTCAATTTAATCCTTTTGGTTTAAAGCAGAAAAGAACAATGGCACGATATTCAAAAGAAATCTTGTATTCACTCTGTTACCTGCGAGTCATTAGAACCTGTGAGTTCTTCCTTTAACAGGAGACATTTTTTGGTGGGTTGGGGGTTTTTTTGTTTTTACAATCAGTTCAGAGACTGGACATGTGACTACAGCATGCAGAAAACACTTTTTTTTAATTTAATAGAACAGGAAGCAGCAAGATGCCCTTTCTCAGTGAAAGGTAACCATAAAATGACAAATTAAGACCTTGAAAAAGCCTCAAGCTTTGTTGTGCCTTCTTGTTCCCACTGAGCTTTAGCAGTATCTGGTCTAGAATTCTCTGAATGAACTGCTACATCACAAGAAAATAAAATATAATTTGTCCTTTAGTCTTTCTACATGTATCTATAATTGGTCAAAGTTATATCCAAGTTAGGAAAATATTTTCTTTTTTTGTCCCACCACAGTAGTAATTTTTAAGTTTCAGTAATGAATGTTTAGCTGCTGGTGGTGGGAAGCAATGAAATGCAACAGAGCCACATATCATACAGGCATACTTTCATTCTGATGTGAATTTAAGTTAAAGGTCTCAACAAAATTAAATAAAATCAACTGATGAGATCATTCTTCAGTCTCCTCCAAAGGCATTTTGTTACTCACTTACTAGCTTCCTTTTGGAAAGTCATGAGTTGTGATGCCTATGGAAATGACTATTGCAGCTTCCAGAACAATGCACAAAGTTAACCTGATCACCTGGTTTGAAACTCAATTCTCTATTCTTTCAGTCTAACTTACACACAGAAGCTCATTTGCTCTGCCTTAATGACTTCAAGCTTAGTCATTCAACCAGGCCATTTATTACTGCTTGGCAACCTGAATCAACCTCCTTTAGGTGGAGGCTTATTAATAGAGGAGTCCATGCCTGGGAGACCTGTCCTTTTCCGGGCTGCAGTCTCTATTTTCCGCACCAGGTCCACATCCCACCGATGGGTGACAAAACTAACCACGGCTCCAGGTGCCTTGCTTCCAACCCGTCCAACTCGCCCCACGCGGTGCAGGTAGTCCTGCAGGGTGTCTGGGAAGTCATAGTTGACCACTAGCTGCACACCGCTGGTGTCCAGTCCCCGCGAGGCAAGGTCAGTGCAGACAAGGACAGACACGTCACCCTTCTGGAAGGAGGCAAAGATGCCAGCTCTAGCAGCTGCTGACATCTGTCCCTGCAACCTCAGGTGCTTGATTTTGTGGTCATCCAGGATATAGCCCAGCCAGTTGACAGTGCTGGCACTGTTGCAGAAGATGAGAACAGCCCCGCTGGACGCTGGGCGCTCCTTGAGTAGCTGCAGCAGTTCGGGTAGCTTGTCCCGGCCTTTGAGGCGGACAAACTTCTGCTGGACGTGGGGTGGCAGGCGGTGCAGACTCTGGGTGGTGAGGGTGACAAACCGGCCCACGTCGGTGAACTTCCCCAGCGTCTGGCTCAGCCCCGCAGGGAAGGTGGCTCCA